CTCTCTCGCCCTTCTTCTCCCCGACGCTTTATGCTCTCAAAGAACCGCTTGGAGGCGTGAAAGCAAATGCGAGCAAGGTAAGGAGGGGGCGAGGCTCTTACGATTTGTGCAGGGGTAAGACGAAACCGCGGGCGCATTTAAATCGGGAAGTTTCCCTCAGATCCGGCGCATATAATCCAGATCCGATCTCTCATACGCGCCCACCTTCTCCACATTTAATCGCTATGACGGTTATGTCCCATCCATCGACACCACGTCGCGCAAAGAACGGCAGCTCGAAAAGACCGCCTCAAAAAAGCGCGCTGGCCGTTGTCACCGATGGAAGAAATACCCCACCGATTCCTTCCGAGCTAAGGAACCGGACACCGAGCCCGCCACTGTCCCGAGGTTCAAGGTTGGGCCATTTATGGTCTCGACGTACCGCCTCGGGACAAGCAGTCGAGGGACAACTAAGGGCGAGCACTGTACATGGCGAGGCCCGATCAAGCGATTGCTTGGGATGCCCTAAGTCATGTTCGAGACTGCAGGAGTTCTCTAAAGGGATCCCACCGTAGGGAGGCACCGAGCCCCTAGGGCCAATCGAGCGCCACTGCACCCGCTAGAGAAGCCTTTCGGTACTTTTTTTGGAGTGCATCTCGGACCACTAGCCGACCCCTATCGAATGGGGCACGGGCCTCCACTCGGACTTACCCGATAAAAGCTCACGGAAATGTCACCGCTTCGTGCCCACCGAGGGTAGCACGGCATGTTCCACCCCTCCTTCCGGCGAAAAGGAAGCGAGGGTCATACAAAAAGCGGGGAACTCTTGATCGCCTCTCGCGCCAGCAGAGGCTCGGGACTATTCACGCAACCTTGCCGAGACCCAGTGGCCCTAGGCTCGCGCCTTGAAGGGCTCGGCAAACAACCCCTCCTTTCGGCGAAAAGGATGCGCGAGGGTCGTACAAAAGCAGGGGAACTCGACGCCTCTCTCGCTACGTGCGGAGGCTGGGAGCTCTTCCAGAAACCTTCTTCGGGACCCGGCTGGCCTAGGCTCGCACGCGAAGGGCTCAACAAACAACCCCTCCTTCCGAGCGAAAAGGATGCGCGAGGTCATACAAAAAGCTAGGGGAACTCCCGATCGCCCTCTCGCACGTCAAGGAGGCTCGGGGGCTCTTCTGCAACCTTGCCGAGACCAGTGGCCTAGGCTCGCACGCCGAAGGGCTCGGCAAACAACCCTCCTTCCGAGCGAAAAGGATGCGCGAGGGTCGTACAAAAAGCCAGGGGAACTCCTGATCGCCCTCTCGCTACGTGCGGAGGCTCGGGGGCTCTTCCTGCAACCTCTCACACCCCGAGGGTCGGAAAAACGCGACAAAAAAGGGCACCAAGCCCATTACGGTCCAGGGGTACGAAGGTTGGGCCATCCAGGGCCTCGACAGCCGCCCCAGGACGACAGAGTCAGGGACAACTATGGGTGAGCCCGTACATGGCCGAGGCCTAGGCAAGCGATTGCTTGGGATGCCCTAAGTCGTGTCCGAGACCAGCAGGAGTTCTCTAAAGGGGATCCCACCGTAGGGAGGCACCGAGCCCCTAGGGCCAATCGAACGGCCCTGGCACCCGCTAGAGAAGCCTTCTGGTACTTTTTTGGAGCACGTCTCTGGACCACTAGCTGACCCCTATCGAATGGGGCACGGGCCTCCACTCGGACTTACCCGATAAAAGCTCACCGGAAATGTCACCGCTCGTGCCCACCGAAGGTAGCCTGGCATGTTCCACCCCTCCTTCCGAGCACGCGAAGGGCTCGGCAAACAACCCCTCCTTCCGAGCGAAAAGGATGCGCGAGGGTCGTACAAAAAGCCAAGGAACTCCTGATCGCCCTCTCACTACTTGCGGAGGCTGGGGGCTCTTCCCCGCAACCTTGCCGAGACCCAGCGACCTAGGCTGCGCACGTGAAGGGCTCGACAAACAACCCCTCCTTCCGAGCGAAAAGGATGCGTGAGGGTCGTACAAAAAAGCGGGGAACTCCCGATCGCCCTCTCGCACGCTGCGGAGGCTCGGGGCTCTTCCCGCAACCTTGCCGCGACCCAGTGACCTAAGCTTCAGACTTGAAGGGCTTGGTAAACAACCCCTACTTCCGAGTGAAAAGGATGCGCGAGGGTCACACAAAAAGCCAGGGGAACTCCTGACCGCCCTCTCGCTACGTGCGGAGGCTCGGGGGCTCTTCCTGCAACCTTGCCGAGACCCAGCGGCCTAGGCTCGCACGCGAAGGGCTCGGCAAACAACCCCTCCTTCCGAGCGAAAAGGATGCGCGAGGGTCGTACCAAAAGCTAGGGGAACTCCTGATCGCCCTCTCGCTATGTGCGGAGGCTCGGGGGCTCTTCCTGCAACCTTGCCGGGACCTAGGATCGCACGCGAGGGCTCGGCAGGCTCGGGGGCTCCTCCTGCACCCCAAACGAAAACAAGCGACCCGAGCTCCCTCTCATGGGTCTAGCAAATACGATAGAGCGCCTCACTCAATGAAGAAAAAGCCCCTAAAGGAGTAGGCTCACTCCTCTAGGGCCTCAGGGGCTACACCCGGCGGGTGCGCTCGCGCGCACCCGCCGGAATCGCGAGTATAAAACAAACCCGACAAGAGCCACTGAGAAACAAAAGTCTCGACAAAACGTCGGGGAGAGTATCCCACACTCCCGCCCGAGGCTCGGGGGCTACTGTCGGATACCAGAAAATGGGGTACCCCAAGCAAAGATCAAAAAACTGCTTAGACCCTAAAAACAGAACCAACAGAATAAACAAACGAGGTCTCGGCCGAAATCTCCGATTCGCCGAGACCCCGTCGCCGAGCCCCAATGAGCGAACGATTCTCGACTTCGCCCAAGGCCGCCTCGCCTGAGGCCCCTCGCCCGGGGCCTCGAAGAAGTGCCGATTCTCCGATTCGCGAGGCCGGCTCGGCACCAACCCGTGTGGACCGCCTCTTGACCAAACTGCTCGCTCGACCGAACGTCGCATCCAAGCGCCCAACCACTCCGGCAGACACGCGATGGCAAGACTGATGAAGTGACCGACTACACGCCGGTCGCGTCAACCTCCCGCCATCCGAGACGGCCACGAGTAGGGGTTACCGACCACTTTGTCTTTGCCTAACTCCCGCACCAAAGACATCATAGCGTGGGGAGTCGAGCGGGTTCCTCAGCCTCGAGTCAGCCGGACCGACCGCTCCGTCTCGCCCGAGCCCCTCGGACGGGGCCTCGGATTCTCGATCTTTCTCCGCCTCGCCCGTCCGCCTCGCCGAGAGACCCCGGTAGGGCTCTCGACGACAATTGGCCGCGCTCCGCCTCGCCCGAGGCCGGGCTCGTCCCGCAACCTCGTCGCCTCCGCCTCAAAAGTCTCTCTGGCAGGCTGTCGCATCCGATTAATGCGCTCAGCTGCACCCGCTACGTAAGCCACGATCGGCGCGTCTTGTATACCGCAGCAGAGCGACGGGACAACGGTCGATCACCTTTTTACAATCCCCTCCGACAACACAGGTATCAGTATCCTATAGGCGCGCATCGTCTCTTGACTGTTCCGCTTTGATGGCGCTGAGACCCGCATCCGCACTGGGTCACTTCTCGTGCCTCGACACAGCGAGGCCTCGGCGACGACCCGGCTATGATGGCCGCCGAGCCTCTGCAATCCACCAAGTCAACAAATGCGCGAAGCATGCTACTTGCAGTGGAGACCATACCGATTAGACATCTACGGGGACTCCCACGACAACGCCATGCTGCTCCAGGAGTAAATACGTCATCGAATAGTCCTTGCTCCACGTGTAGCTCTCTTATGTACTCCTGGTTTCCTCCCTGCGGCTATAAAAGGAGGCAGCAAGGACCGTCCCTAGGGACGGCGGATAGAGTCACGGATACTCGCACGAATAACACGCCTCATTCTGTAATTCATATCACCTCTCCTCACAGAGACCTGGGACGAACTCCCTCTCTCGCCTAGCTTGTAACCCCCTACTACGAGCACCCCGGTGTAAGGAATACAAGAACATCTTCTTAGACTGGACGTAGGGCATCCATTGCCCGAACCAGTATAAACCTTGTGTCTCTTTGCATCACCATCCGGAATTGGGAGCACGCAGCACAAATTCACTAGTCGGTTAAGGACCCTCGGTTCCGAAACACCGACAATTGTATATAAAGAGGTTCTAACTCTATGAAAGAGGTAATGCATTACACGTCGATACATATTTTTTCAAGATATATCAATAGTACTTTAACTTTAAAAATTAACAAACAACTTATGTGCAGGATACTTCTATCTACAGCTTCAACTATCTACATGCTTCAGCTGCAAGAAGTTAGATGCCACATCTTGGACTTGAAAATCTTCTGGATTATCTTTGATTGGTGACCAGCTGCAGCTTGGTGTTCGTGCAAAGCACGTTCTCTTGATCAAAATATTGAGAGATTAGATTGTTAATTATACAATATATTGTAAAACATGTATTGTAAAACACAAACTTGTTATGATTAAGGTGAATGCTCGTGTATTGCAACTTGTAAAACATCACGATTACAGTATCTATTTTAGATACAGTATAACATGTGCTTATACATATGTTATCGTGATATTATGTGTACCCGTTGCAACGAACGAGCATTTAACTAGTAAGGATACATAAATAGCTTGCTTCATTGTTGCTACTTCCTTATATAATAAAACAATCTCATCCTGGCCAAACAGATTATTTGATTTGCATTATCAAAACGTATATTATCAGTCTAAAAAACATGCACTACAAGTAACGTTGCATACCAACATACCATTAGTATAGGCATTATATAGTGTGCAAACAATTGGAAACAAATCAAATCTCTTGTGTTTTTTTTCCTTTTTTCACCATCATTAACTACATACTCCTATATGGTATGAGCATATACCATAAGATCTAACTACATGCATATAGAGTGAAAAATTAACTTCCAATATATATCGACAAAATCAAGAAAACCATCTCCTCTGTTGCCATCTGGATGCCGCTAAAATCCCCACTTTGTTCTAACCGATGCTGGCTTTCCCCTGGCAGGCTCCCGCTGTTTCAGTTTGGTCACTGCAACGTTGCCATGATTTGCCTCGTCCTCCGGCATGGTCTCAACCTCTGAACTGTTACTCCGGTCATGCCCAATCTTCTCAGATTTCTTCCCATCAAGCACCTCATCCCGTTTCTCGATCTCAGGATCCATTTGCATCCTCCCTGTCCTCGGCCCCCTGGGCTCCCCCCGCGAGAGTTCCATGGCGGCCTTCGCGGCGGCTGCTGCCGAGGCGGCCGACTCGAACGCGGCCTGAGCTGCCGCTTCCACGTCCTTGTACCTCTGCGCCGAGTCGCCGGAAATGTCTTCGTCCCAGTCATCAACTGGTGGCGTCCTGCGGATCCTCTCGTCATCGTCGTGCTTTGTCTTTCTGTGGTTGTGGTTGGAATGTCCCGAGTCCTCGTAGGGAGGCGGCTCGTAGATGCGCACGGCGATCCCTTTCTCGGCGGCGATCTCCTGTAGCACCAACTGTCGGCTCTCCAGGCTCGGCTGCTTGGTCGACAGCTTCTGCACGATCTGTTCAGAATAAGTAAGTCTAGTCAGAAACCGAAGGTTGAGATCGAAGTCGGCCAGCCAGAGTGCGCGGGTCGCCGCCGCCGGCCCTCACCTTGGCGTTGATCCCGCATCCGCTGCGGAGGTTGGACGCCGCGGAGACGAACTCCCTGCCGAACTTGGCGGCGAGGATGCCCCGGACCTCCTGCAGCTCCGGGAGGTCCCCGCACCTGGCGGCGGCGTAGACCAGCCCGGCCGCCGCCTCCCGCAGCTCCTCGGGGCAGTCCCTGTGCGCGTCGACGAGCGCGGCCCTCTCGACGATGAGGGTGCAGTAGGCCTCGAGCTCGGCGAGCACGTCCAGCGCGTTCTGCTCCCGGACGACGTGCTCCGCGCGGTCCAGCGCGCGGTCCGTGTGGCCGAGGCGGAGCAGCTGCTCCACGTCCCCGCGCGCCTGCCCGCACCGCACCTGGCGGTGGCCCCGCACCACGCCGAGCCGCGTCACCGCCAGACCCAGCAGCGACTTGAGCCGCGCCGTCTGCTTCGTCGTCCGCCCCAGCAGCACGTCCAGCCTCCTCCCCATCCCCTCGCTCGCACTGGCCAGCACGGATCAAGCTCGTAGCTAGCAACCGCTCGCTCTCCCGAGCCCTGGCTGCTGCCGAAGTGCCGATCGAGTCGTGGCGCGGTTTCGCCCTGGTGTTTTATACCCCCGGGTCGTGGCGCGGGGTGTGAAATGGGAAATTTTTGGAGACCGTGAGATGGCAGACGCGGGCAATTAAGAGGAAGGATCCGAGGATGGTGAATGGTGATACGGTTTCCTTCCTTGTGGTGGTGGGTTTGCTTTGTGGCGAAGGCGAGCGAGGGCGACGGGCTTTAAACGTCTGAGGGGACGCGTGGTGGGCCGAGCCGCCGCTGAGCTGTATCGCGTGAGGCCGTGTGACGGGTTCAGCCGGCTCGCGTTCCGGCCGGCCAGTCCAAGACGCGCGGCACGCGGGTTTTGCCCGCCCGACCGGGGTTGTTGTCCTTGCTGCTGGGAGCCTGGGACCGCCGGACCGGGACGTGGGCGCGCGGGTGGCTACGGCGTCGGGAGTGCTGATCTCCACGTTGGCGAGTGGTGGCGCCGGTTTTCTTCGTCTTCGATTCGTTTTGACTGGGCAAGCTCGGTGGTTTCATGGGGTGGGTGCCTGGGTGGGAGACTTTGAGGGGGTCGAAAACGATGGTGCAGCGGCGCGCGGTTGGAAACTCGCGGCACGGTGAGCCGGGGACGGGGAGGGAACAGTCGCGCCAAATATCTGTGCCGTGCCGGGCTTCCGGGCCCGTGCGACCGTCGACTCGCTCTGGGGGGGGGTTGGGGTGTTGTACTCAAGAAAAGGCAGAATAGTCATTTTGGTCTCTAAACTATTTCTTAAGGTCCAGTTTCGTCCCTGAATTTTTAAAACGGCTATTCTAGTCCTTAAACTCTACTGTTAGGCTCAGTTTCATCCTAAAACTATGAAACTGATCATTTCAGTCCTTAAACTTTGCATTTTAGGTTTAATTTCATCCTAAAACTATAAAAATGATCATTTGAGTACTCAAACTTTGCATCTTGGGAGCGATTGGAGATAGAAAAATAATATTCTTCCAAAAACTCTTTACTAGCCATTAATAATTCTAAGCTGTTATTTTTAATGTTACCTTATAATGATATCATTTATATATATCCGACTATAAATAATTTTTATGGAAGCAATTACAGTTGCTTCACACGCTATTCCTTAAGAATACATGAATATATTGAAACAATAGTAGATCTATAATTTTTTTTCTCAGCTACTTCTAGCGTTAGGCTCAACTAATAACCATGTGTATAGAATAATTATTTTTATCCATAGGATAAAAAGAATTCATATTTAAGAATATTTAGATCTATATTTATATTCATCTTAGAATATAAATACAAATGTTGAAAGTACCTAACAATGTTGTGGGTGGTGCTAGACAAAGGATGAAGTTGTGCAAAAATGCATTTTGATAATTCATGGATGAAATTGTGTCTAAAATATAAAGTTTTCTTTTTGATAGATAAAATTGAGTTGAAAAATAAAAGTTTAAAGACTAAAATGCACTTTAGTAGTTTATGGATGAAATTAGGCCCAAAATGCTAAGTTTCATGACTGAAACAATCATCTTTATAGTTTTAGGATGAAATTGAGTCCGAAAGTAGAGTTTGAGGACTAAAACGCCCATTTTGAAAGTTCAGAGATAAAACTGAGCCTAGAACAATAGTTCAGGGACCAAAACGACTATTCTGCCTCGACTATTCTGGCTCTAGAAAACCTCGTTTGCGGAACTGTGGGTCCGTATGTAAGGCTGTGTTTAGTTCGCGAAATGAAAATTTTTGGATGTCACATCGGATGTTTCGGAGATATCGGAAGGGGTTTTCGGATACTAAAAAAAAAACTAATTACATAGCTCGCCTAGAAACTGTGAGACAAATTTATTAAGCCTAATTAATCCATCATTAGCGCATGTTAGTTATTGTAGCACTTATGGCTAATCATAGACTAATTAGTTTTAAAACATTCGTCTCACGATTTTCAATCAAATTGTGTAATTAGTTTTTTTTCGTCTATATTTAATACTCCATACACGTGCCGCAAGATTCGATGTGATAATTTAGGTGAAAATTTTTGAAACTAAACCAGGTCTAACCTCCATTTCGTACGGCCTGGTCTACATGACTGTGGCTCGTTCTGTCGCCATCGATGCTGTCAGCCTGTCATGATAGAGTGGTGTGTGGTTCGTCCTGGTCGCGACCGGAGGCCCGCTTACTATGTCAAACGCGCCTTCCCTTTTCTACGGCGACATTTTGTCATTTCCGAGTGCCGATTACTCTAGGTCTCTAGATCTGATTTCTTTTCCTCAAAAACGAAGAACTAGGCTTCGTTGCATTAAGATAGAGTGTTCACAACAAATTGTCGAAGCGCACACGCTTAACCAGACGCTTGGTCGAGCAACACTCGAGAGTCGAGACAGAATATAATGTTTTATACTTTGCAGTGCCTTACGCTGTTTTTTTAACGTAGAAGGCGATTTATATTATACTTTTTAGTCGAAGCACACACGCTTGACCACACTTGGTCGAGCAACACTCGAGACCCAATATAATGTAATGTTTTTAGTGTCATACACTATTTTTTTAACATAAAAAAGGAGATTTAATTTGTAAACTAAAACATGTCCTTGTATATTTTCCATCAACTATCTCGGTCTCTCACTCTCTCGGAGTATATATATGATACTCAAGGATAGAGGAACCCACGAACTGTGAACAGGTCGTTCCGTTCGTTTGAACTTATTAGTTTGGTTTATCACCTAAGTAGAGTGTTTTTCTTTCACAACAAATTAAGAAACAATACTTTTTAGCCTGGCTTTTCAGCGAACTACCAATCTGACTTAATGAAAGATGTAAATTCCTGCTGGAACGTCTGTGTTATTTCTTAGGTTTCTTGAATGGCGGAAGACATTCTCAGGTGAAGGACACATTTGGTTCTAGCCAGGTCTGTGACACTATTTTTAAAATTTCGCTCTCTCGCACAAGCAAGCCAAATCTCGCTTGTACAGGCAAATCAATGTAACCAAATATGCCCGAAATCACAGTACCACCTATGATTGCGTCCAATTTTGTTGTTAGGAGTAATAATAATAGACAAAGATAGGAACTTCAACCGTGACCTTGTATGTGGACACAAACGAACAACGAGAACCTGCATTAGATGTACGGATAATAACGAGCTGCTTCTACTTCAAGCCAAAGAAGAAAAACGAAACAACTGTAGGCCTTGTTTAGATTGCAAGTTTTTTTACTCTCTCTTCATCACATCAAATTTTGAACACATGCATGGAGTATTAAATGTAGATAAAAAATAACTAATTATACAATTTGATTGTAAATTACGAGACGAATCTTTTGAGCTTAGGCCATGATTGAACAATAATTATCAAATACAAATGAAAGTGCTACAGTGCTAAATACTATTTCCTAACCTCAATCTAAGGCCTAATTAACGTAGAATGTGACTTGGAGTGGTGAATTGACGTTTTGCCAGGGATTGATTGATACTAGTACGTACGGAGTACATCAGAGACGAGGGCCTTGATTAGATTGAAAAAAAATTCAATCCGATAAATAGTAACATTTTCGTCTTATTTGGTAAATATTGTCCAATCGTGGACCAACTAAGCTCAAAAGATTCATCTCGTGATTTCCAACTAAACTGTGCAATTAGTTATTTTTTTTACCTAAATTTATTGCTCTATGTAAACGGCTAAAAATTAATGTGATAGAGAGAGTAAAAAAACTTAGAATTTTGAGGATATCTAAACAAGGCGGAGAGCACCCAAGGCGCAGTAATGGCCACGGAGTACGGATCCGTGCAGCACCACGGGATACAATAATGGCCCAGCCTCCACCAGGCATTATCGCAGGAAGGTTCTGCTACGCTTCCGGCGACGCGACATCGGAAAACGGTGTTCAAGGCTGGACGCGTCAAACGATTTGCACGGGAATTCCATTTGCACGAGCACGGCATCTGATGAGATTCCGAGTAGAGGTCAGCTCGTCTCGTGCTCGTCCCTGGACGACCACAGCGCGCGCATGCACCACTCCTGGTCCTAGCACAACCAGCTCTGAAAACGCGCACCCCACGGGGACCGGGGTGCGCTGATTCGGCCATTAGCCACAAACGCAATCACTTCAGCGTAGATAGGAAAATGTATTTATTCCGTACCTACCTTCTTCAGAGTCCGGATTTCCTCCTAAACGGTAAAACGGTAAAACCAAATCTAATGAGACTAGCCACACTTGGCAAGATATCGATGTTTAGAATGGAAATGGATGCCCAAACAAAATGGCGGCATCAATGACCGTTGATTCCTCGATTCTCAATCTACAGCATGTTTGTTTGCTGCGTATCTAGCTTATAAGCCATGACTTATCAACCAGTATTTTTCTCTCATACTAAATCAGCCAACAATACTTTCAGCTATGGCTTATAAGCCAAACCAATTTTAAACGAACATGACGCTAGTCTAGCTGCATAGACGCTGAGGAGAGAGGAATGCCCGGTATCATTGTTTTTTTTATGGGTCCCAGTCGATGCTCGCCTAGTGCAGCTTGCCCCATCCATGTTGAATGACTGCGGTGGTTTTTGGACGTCCACGCACACCATTATGGCTAGTCTGAGTACTTAGGTCAGTCACGGTAAGGACACCTATAACGGTGCTGTCAATAGGTCCACATAAGAGAGAGAAAGGAGGAGAGAGAAGAAATCATCGCTAATTGTGATGAGAGCAACTAGCATAAGAATCCACACAAGCGAGCCCCACCAAGTGTCTGACTCCTCGGTCGCCTGGAGCGAGTGGAACGGGAGAATCATATATCACGAGGCTTGGCTCGTGTTTTTCCACTGCGACCACATTTTCCTCTGGTGCCCTTCCCGTCCGCGCTCACTCTGACCGCCCGTCGCCGTGTTATCGCTTACTCGCTCCACCTACCCGTGCGCAACTGTACGTTGTTGCCCCCTCTTTGTCGCTCTTGTG